ACCCTAAAATTCAAACTTTTTTTTTTTTTTTTTTTTGGCAACTGAATTTAGCTTCTCCTTTGTATGATGGTTTAACATTATGTGTATCACTCATCTGAAAATTAATGTCCAGGTGTTGAAGTCAAACAAGGTCAATCTTTGAAAGTGACCCCTGAGCATGACAGAATCATTCATATTTCCCAAGTTAGAGTTGCTTAAATTTTTTGTGAGTGGTACATCTGAGGTGTTTTTGTTCTCACTCTTCAATTTCTTACAACCACAGGCATCATTGGGTGAGGTAAAGGATGAGAAGGCTTGTAACAAGGTTCCCCTCCGTCTGAAGATTGGAGGGAAGAACTTTGTTGTAGGAACTCTCTCAGCTGGAGATAGACCTCAGATAATGTTTGATTTGGTGTTTGAGAAAGAGTTTGAACTCTCTCATGACTGGAAGAATGGAAGTGTCTACTTCATTGGATACCAAACTATGGACCCATGCCTATATCCTTCAGTATTGTCATTTTTTTTTACTATATATACTATTTGTCATATTTCAGCCAAGCCTAGGTGTTCTATCTGTTTCTTTCTCTGCCATGGAATGAGCTCAAGGCAGAACTTGAGATTTCTTATGTCAATATTCTCTGGGTCTTGATGGTTTTGGACATGTGCTCATGTCCCATACTTTATATAACTTTCTAATCATTATTCAATTTCATTTTTGTTGTCCTTGACATTACATTTGTTCCTCCACTGATGATGAGGATGATGGTGGTGAGTTTCATATCACTCTATGAATTTGAGTGACAATCATTTGCTTTCATCAACTAATGTTTTATTTTCTTTTTTCTTTACAGAGGAATTTGATTTTGAGTCTGATGAAGAACTTCCCATTGAATCCCCAGAAAATGGTGAATACTTTTTATGTATATATATTTATGTTTTTACATAGGAATTACATATGGTTATCTGTGTTCTCAAAATCATCTGACTCCATTCAACTTAGTCCTGTGCTGGATATGTTTTTGAGACTCTTGGAATTAATTTATTCTTGATACACTTAACAAATTGATGAATTAATCCTAAATAAGTTAAACTTTTTATAACTATTCTATTTTTATTTGTTCATGTTTTTGATGTGTTCCAGTTTAGCTGTTTCATCTCTCAAATTTGGGATAATACATACTTCTTGCTTTTCTTGTGCATCTACTAGGAGTTTAATTTTCATATGGTTGTAGTTCTTTAACCTTGGTTTCAGTTTTAATATATTCCATGTTATTGGTTTGGTCAGGGAAACTTGAACCTAAGGTTGATGCTGCTAAGCCAGCGAAAAAACCCTCTGCTACTGTTGCTCCCAAGAAAGTAGAATCGAAGCCTGCAGCAGCTCCCAAGAAAGTAGAGCCTGAATCTGACGATGATGATGACTCTGATGATGAAGATGAAGATGGCGAGGTATAACTTATAACTGATAATAGTTCACTGTTGTGTTGTTTTGCTATGATTGTATTTTTACTCAAAAATAGTGCAACCCTTAACAATATTGTTATGTTAGGTTATCCTTAGTATCTCAGTATATTAACTACACTTCCATTTTAATATAGCAGTCAACAAATGAAGTGTTAAATGGTCCTGCCATCTATTGTTGTATTGAAATTTATTACTTTTCTGTTGGAATTGATAATAGGATTCTGATGAAAGTATGGGAGATGGAGACTCTGATGAAGAAGATGATTCTGAGGAAGATGAATCAGATGAGGAGACACCTGTGAAGGTAATTGAACTAGCGAATTGAGTACTCGTATAAATTGTAGTTTTTTCTAAAATTATGTATTTTGTTTTCAAGGGTAAGCCTCAGATGAAGAAAAGGCCTGCTCAACCTCTCCCAGAAACTCGTGCTCCTGCAAAGAAAGCAAAGCAAGCCACTCCTGACAAATCAGGTTCGTATTTTTCAATGACAAGTTTCTGCTCTGATTGGCCAATTTTGGATGTGTGAAGCTTATTTTATTTGATATATGAAGGTGGGAAGAAAGGGGGTCCTAGTCCTGGAGCAAAGCAACCTCAAAAATCTCCCCAATCATTCAATAATTCAAACAAGAAGCCCCAAAAGTTGGTACCCTGCCCTATTCAAATTATTCAAGTCATTGTGGATTTATTTTTAATGATTTATGATATTTAAGAAAAGGGCACAAAATCTAAACTCTGCTCATGTTTTGCAGGAAATTTAACCAGAGAAAGCACTAGGGATGGGGATTGATGAAGAAAAGAAGAGGGATGGGATTAGTTAAACCAAAGCACAATTTTGGCATTTATTTAGTGTTATTGTTTGGATCGCTAGAAAGAAAGATTGTGAAGTATCATCGGCTTTATTTAAATATTGTCTTTTATGTCATACTATGTTCTTTTGAAGCAATTAGATTTGATTGGTCTTAAACCAAATTAAATTATTATACTAGACAATTGATTGGATGGTTTAGTGTTTGAAGCTTTTGATTTATGAGTTATTGCTTGCCTGCCACCAAGTATAATGTATATGCATGCATTGATAATGCACATAACCAGTGTCATAAAGTGGACCACGGTTCATACATCGTGGTGTGGAACTTTGGATTATGATTGTCAAAAGAAATTGTAGTAGAATTAAAATAATATTTTAGTGTATTGTTATAATAAAATTATTCTGAATGAAAAATGAAACTAACATATTTTGTCAAATAATATATGCAATTAAAATAATATTTTAAAATGAAATAAAAATAGGAGTTCAAACAATAATATATAGAGCAAATACCAATTCTCACGAATATTAGAAAAATGATAATTTTGGTCTACATATTTAATTTTTAAGATATGTCAAAATCTAAAAGTTGGTATTTTTGTCTTTTTCAACTTAAGATCTCAATTTAAGTATGAATAAAAGGATTTAAATCTTAAGGTTGATCATAATTTGTAGTTCTCATAATCCTACCTTAATTTGAGGATAGTTCTCATAATCCTACCTTAATTTGAGGATGGGAATTGTGAATTATGATCGAAACGATAAAAATACCCTTGATAATGTCATATTTAGGCATCACAAATTGACATCAAAACAATAATTGTGTATGAAAATTAGTAGGAATTAAACATGTTGACCAAATAATTAAACATGTTGACCAAATTAGGAGGAATTAGTAAGGATTAAACATGTGGACCAAAATTATCGTTATAATACTCGTGAGACCAAAATTGGTACTTGCTCATATCAAATGAAATTATAGAAAAATTAAAATGATACTTTTTTGAATACTGACTCTATTACAACCCGAGTGCCATCTGAGCACAATGTGCTTGACATTAAAATGATACTTTAGTATTGCTATAATAAAACTAGTACGGAAGGAAAATAAAACTAAAAAAATAGCAACATTATCAAATAAAACTGAAGTGTAATTAAAATAATACATCATGATTAACGCTACTACGTATACCATAGTCACTGTGATGCAGTGTTTTTAGGTGTGTTTGAAAATTATTTTTGGAGTCTTTAGTCAAAGAAAAATATCTTCATTTCAATTTTCATATCAGTGTTAATGCCACCACTACAATTGCAACTACCGTCGCCATACCGTCATTGCAACCCAACCAGGAGAGAACACAAGGTCAAGCCTATAAACTTCACAACAACAAAACAAGCAACAGATATTCACCATCACACGCATCACCACTACTACTATTATTACTGCCACACTATCATCGCCACTACAACCACTATCACTACCGACACACCATCATCATTACAATCGCTACCACTACCACCACCACCACCACCATTTATATTATTATATTATAAATGTTATTATATTCTAAACAAAACAATTAAAATATTTAATTTAATTATATAATTCTACTCAATTTTTTAAAAATGAATAAAAAATACCAAGACAATTTTCAAGAATGATTTTTTGAAAAACAACTCATTGTCTAGAAAATATTTTTCAAAAAATATTTTCCTAATTTCCAAACATACTCTTAGAGCATCCACATCAGTTGGAGAGATTTAGGAGTTATTTGTGGGCCCCAGCATCCATCTCATTCTCCACTATCTCACTCCATCACAAATAACTCTTCTCTACATCAGTTGGAGAGATTTAGGAGTTATTTATGAACCCCACTATTTAACTCACTATATTTTAATTATTTCTTTATCTATTTTATTTATAAATTTATATTTCAAGAAAATTTCAGAAAAAAAAATTTCAAGAAAATTTCAAGAAAATTCATTAAATTTCAAGAAAATCCTTTTCTTTTACAAAGATCAGTGGATACAAAATATTCTCAGAAAAAAAATTATAAAATTGAAAAAAAAAATCCACCTCAAATTTACACTCCCTATATAAATACACACCGCCCAGAGGTCTCCACCTCCTTCTCGACACCGGCAAAACACTTCCCAATGGCGAGCCATTTCCACACTATCCACCTACTAGAATACCCATTTTCATTTTCCACTAAAGAATCTCTGCCGGCCTGGAATAGCATCGTGTGTAGCAGGAAGAGCTCAAGAATCAGAGTCTCCGATGGAGGAGAGGACTTGTCGTATTTGGACATGTGGAAGACAGACGGCGATGGATCGCGAGAGGAAGTCTCTGGATTTCCAGAAGATCGTGGAGAACAGTAGAAAATCCAGCGACAATGAAGACGACGATGGCGCCGACGAGGAGGACAGCCCGGAAGCGATGGAGAGGAAGAGCAACGAGTTTCAGAAGATTCTCGAGTTCTCACTGCTTTATTTTTTTATTTTTCTGACAATATGCCTTCATTTGCAGGACAAATATTTTCCAATTATCTCCACTCCACATTAGCTATTATCTCTTGTAGGAAAGAATGCAAACTGAAATATCTCCCTATTATCCACTACTATGGATGCTCTTAATTGAAACAATTAGATATCAGAAGTGATACCAGAAATCACCGACAACTAAAGCAAATGGTCATTTCCGTACATCAGAAATGGTGGTGTGTTGGAAATGGTAGTGGTTGCAACCATCACTGAACCTAATCAAATATGGGATGAAAAATAGAATCCATGTTAAAAAGACAGAAAATGGTCATTTCCATACATCATAAATAAAGCATAGAAACACCCTTGGTCATTTTTAAGTGAAGTTGCTCATCCCATATGTGTACAATCCACACTGGACAGTCTAACCCACATCACCTAAAGATGGATGCACAATACTAAAATTCCACAAAGGCTCCTCAACCGATCCTTTTAATACAAATTCCTGACACCAAAGAGCATCGACTGCCTTGTATCTTCGACGACCTGTTACAAATTTCATGGCAAGCTGTTATTAAAATATGATGATGACTGGTCATTATCTGCATGGAAACCTGGACCTGTTTCCTGCAAAACTTGTGGTAAATGTAAGACAGACAAGTTCCTGATAGGATATTTAAATGAGAGAAGTAGAATATCTACTAGCCTGGATGGTGTTGCTCACAGGACAACCTGACTGCGCAAAAAGCAAATAAAAAACAAGGAACAATAATGGAGGCAACCTTAATGTCTTGTTTAGAAAAGAGGGAAGCGATTTGGGATTCATGTTTATAAGTATGATGTCCTATAGCTGCACAAAAAGCAATTACAAAACAAGGAACAATGGAGGAGGCAAACTAATTTTAACTTTTGTTTAAAAAGAGGAAAGGGTGATTTGGTATTCATGTTTACAAGATGATATGAAGGGCACAAGAAAGCAACGAAAATGATGGAAGGGATAAAAAACAAGGACCACATATTTTAGTTTTGGTGAAAAGGGATATTGGGATGACCTATTTGCAAGATGAACTCAAAGGTGAGTGAATGTAAACAGAGATCCATAATCTGCAAAGGCTATAGCATTCTCCAATGATGTTAACCATGTCACAAATCTTGAATTATGTGGGGACTTAAAGAGCTAATTGAGCATCCTTACAAGTAAAAGTGTTCACCACTTGGCAAACAAATGCAAAAAAATCTTATTGATGCCCTTTGTGAGGGGAACTTGACCTCAACGAGAGATGGTTAATCATACTATGAAATGGTTTATTCAACTTCAGATCAATTAGAGAATATGCACTCCCCCAAATGAATTTACAGAAATTTGAGGCAAATTATTTCAGTGCATGCAAATACAAAGGTGGGAAATGGTCTCAAGATTTTAAAAGTGCAAGAAGGAACGCAGAAAACGGCTTCAAGATTTTCAGAATGGTTTTTAAGCACTCAACTATTGGACCAAAGAAAACATGCAAGCCAAAGATACTATTAAAAATATGAAAGAAATTTCATTTATATTCCCTATCACAATATTGAAAACCTGCACCGCCTGCACAGTGGAAAATGGACAGTAAGCTAACTTTTATAGGATAGGTGGCCCTGCTTTGAAACAGAATTGTTGTACCTATACGGCAAAACAGATTCAATCATAAGGGAAAGGACACAAACCAGTTCAAGAGAGATATCAGTATGCATATCCATTTCGTTGTGAAGGATGTTGTTGGCCATAGTACTGATCCTCATCTTGTGCATAACCCCTCTCATTATTTTCACTTTTGTGATCAAGGACTTCTGCATTGGCATTTTTAGCAAGATCAGCCTGCTCCTTTTCCCGATTCCACTGCTCAATCCTAGCACGCCTCTCTTCACTTCCATCCCTAACAGGACTTCTCTCTCTTCTACCACCTGGGCTCCTGCTACGCCCCTTCCGATGGCCAGGACTTGTGCTTCGGTGCCTCCTACTCCTACTCTCGTAGTACTGATCCCTATCATCATACTTCCTACTATGGCTCCTGTGAGAACGCTCTTCATAGCTTCTATGCCTGTAGGGACTCCTGCTTCTGCTTCGGCTGCGCCTTCTGTGGTACCTCCCAAACAAATGCCGCCTCAGCTCCCTGTAGTTCATCATTAATATGAAAGAATTCAGTGAAAATTACTTGACGAAATCTCTAAACCTAATGAATCTATAATCAACTACCTATTACCCAGCACAGACACAAGGCATTCTACCTGCTAATCCTCTTAAGATGCATAAAGTTGCAGTACCCGCCACGATTGCAGGAATTTTCCTCATACTGTCTACATGTTGCTTCACGAAAATCAGTTACTGGAGAGAAATCAACAATGATAGGTCTTCCTGCATTCATTATTATTTAATAATAGAAGCAATAAGTGCTTCGGAATCAAGCAAGCTCCACATAGATCTTGCTTAAGCAGAACAAATGCATAAAGAATTTTGATTTGATAATTACCAGCATAGAACCTTCCTGAGAGATTTTTCAGAGCATTTGCAGCCTGCTCCTCTTCTCGAAACTGAACATAAACATTGCCCACCTGCAAGAACACATTACATACACAAATACATGTTACATGATAGCACGCACAATCAAAATTCAAAATCCGCTGACAAATCATACAATTATTTAATATGAAATGATGATTACCATGTGGTCAGCCAGATTATCACAAACATTCAGACTCTCAATCTCACCATACTTGCTCAATTCCTCAAACAAATCTTCATAAAATTCCTGCAAACATTGAGAAAATGTTAAATCATAAACATTAGGACACCAAATGTTGCCTCATATAAACCAAATTTCCAAACAACAATCCTTTCTCCAACCATACCAAAACATGTCACATATAAATAATCCAATATCTAACAATACTCCAAAAAGTTTCGCCAAATCTATAATCCTGTAATCGGCATCACAAACAAACAAACAAACAAATAGAACGATCATATTGTTTGTTTCAAATGCATGTGGAATCAATTAACGAGGAAACCGAAACGATTGAAAGGCACGGAAACGGCGAGAAATGAAAAATGCATACCTCGAAGTGTTCTTGCATCTTATGAGGATCGATTGGGCGGCCTTGGGCGTCGACGCCGGGGGTGATCATGTCGGGGCGCTGGTACATGTTGGAGAGGAGGATGGTGGGGCTGATGCTGGGCTTGGTATGGAGCCTGGAGCAGCGGTCGCCGTGACGACACGCGCCGATCTTGAAGTAGAAGGGGCAGTTCACCCTGTCCTTCTCCGTTCCGAATATCGATGCCAAGTGCTCCGCCATTGAAACCGAGACTTCAAACTTCAAATTCAGCTGCTGTCTCTCTCTCTACACTTTATCCCGTGTCTGGAGAACAATGAGAAGCAGTTAGAGTTGTATATATATATAACTATATAAGGCGAAGCTTCTGGATAAAAATTACATTCTGTATTCAAACACTAAGTTGTTTATGCTTATATCAAAAAGCGGAATCAAAAGGTGGTTTGCCCGAGTGGTTAAGGGGAAGACTTAAGATCTTCTGCACATAAGTGCGCGTGGGTTCGAACCCCACAGCCACCATTTTCTAACCCATTCTGCACAAGGCCTTCCGCCGCCATTTTTAAACCCATTTTACACAAGGCCTTCCGAGCCCAAAATTCAGTGTGCACTCAACCCAAATTTTAAAGGGCTAAAGGCAGATTATTGTGTGGACCACCGTTTAAAATGACATCATTTTGATGTTATAATTTTATTTTTATGTTCTTTGCACTTATGTGTTAAAATAATAAATCTTTTAGGGCAAGATAATATATTATATGTGTTAGAGTAATGCATTTTATGTGTTAGAATAAAATTCTTGTGATAAGATAATATACTTTATGAATTAAAATAATTATTTTTATATAAAATAATGTATTTTATGAGTTAGAATAATATACTTTATGTGTTTTTTTGACTGTAGTCCACACATATGTGGACCACGATCTACGCAATAATGATTTTTTAAACGGCCCAACACTTTGCAGAAGGCCTTCCCATTGGGCCTTTGTGCTAATTAAGTTCATTGTATAAATATCTTAGTAGGGCCTATGTTCAGTTGCTAGTGTGGACTCTAGGCAATTTCTATTTTATTTTTAAAATAGCTAAAGTATATGTCTATCATCATGTTTAAAAAGTATATTTCATCCGTTTCATTTTTATGTGTCTAATTCTTTTGTTTTTTTTTTGAAAGTAAAAATCAAATATATTAAATCATTAACGAATCCAAAAAAGAAAGTGAGACATCATTCCATTCCCTGAGCTACAAGTTTGCACCCTCCGCCTTGGCAAAAGCATGGGCAACCTTGTTACTGTCACAACTAATAAAGTGAACACTCGAGTCCGGTATAGCATCAATGATCAAAGAACATTCAAACATTAAAAAACCTACATACGAACGAGGTAAAGCCAAACTACTAGGTAAAAAAGAATAGAAAATTAAACAATCCGATTCCACCCGAACTCTCTCCAATCCATGATTCTTGATCCATGAAAGGGCTTCTCGTACCACCAATGCTTCTGCCAGAGTTGGGTCATAAGGACACCGTTATCAAGGGACGGAGCCAGGATTATATGATGCGGGGGGCCAATCGCGATTTAAGAGTGGACAATTTAATACATTAATATTCATTTAATATATACCAAAATAGATCATTAAATTACAAATGTACTAAAATTTAGAACGTCTCTCCTGCATATCACGAAAATCATCTATAATTGAATCTATACTAAATTGCTTTGCGTTTTTCAATTTTTTTTTTTTTTTTTTTTTTTTTTGCAATTTTCTTTTCAATGTACATTAACAAACAATCATTAAGAAATTGATCATCCATCTTGTGACGAAGTGTAGTCTTTGTAACACCCCCCAAAAACAAGACTACTTAAAACGAGTCTTAACACCTGCAGATCAAGCACAAAACTAGCACAGCGGAAGATAAAAAGATAACTGGATAAAAGGAATCCAAAACGGGGTGTTATGCCACGTATACTACACTAGGTATATGCTACGACGACAATCTGCAAGTGTAACACTATCCCAAAAACAACCAAACTAGAACAATCTAAAGACATTGGCACACAGGCCTCAACAACACTGTCTAACGATACAGGTGCTAAGCTACTGGCTCTAGACATCGCGCTCGACTACGCATCACCTGAAAGATACAAAGATAAACATCGGGGCGACGCCCGGTCAGCGAAAGATGCTGGTAACCCACCAATACCGTTAAGTATCATAAATAGGTAGATATATAATATGAAAACCATTTTCGAAACGGAATACATATATATAAGTCAAAAGCCAAGATCAAAAGACAACACAAGACTCACCACTCACAAGGGCAAAACCGGGAACACATCCCAAACCACAAAGGTTAACCACACACAAGGATAAAGACTCACCCAATGGCAACACATGCCAAAACACACCACAAGCCTCCGTGACTACACACGTCACGAGAGAAGAGAACTCACCACAACAACGGCTTCACAAGCCCTCGTGACATCACCCATCACGAGTTGATATGCCTTCCTTATGCCCTGTTCCAACCTTATGGCTACCCCCAACCTTGTACCTTCGGTGCCAACCATTACCTCCAGAAAGCCCCTGTACAGCCAAGTCCAACCTTATTCCTCCGGGACCGTCGTCCCCCACCTATAACCACCAACGAAAACCCACCAATTCACGGCAACACATGCCCGGATAACACAATGTTATCCCCCAAACACGTGGACTCAGCCACAACTCCATGAAATCACGTCACGGCCACCACGAGGACCGCTGCAATACCTTGGTGACTAGCGTCCCATACCACTAATCGTGCAATCCAGGTAAAGCCACACACGCACCACCACTCACATGAAACAAGCAACGGATTGCAACAGAGGTACGAAACATACTCAAATAAGAGATAGGTCACCACCCATCGACACAAAGACGCTAGCATTAGGATAATAACTAGCAAGCTCAACAACGAAGAAACTCAAGATAGTTCCGAGGAACACACAAGACACCACATGGTTCAACGAAACACAATGTTGAACACTTAGCACGATACACAACACCAAAGATCCTACATAGATACCTACCAAAAGCTCTAGACCTACGAAACATCAAGAAGACGCTCAAATAGTTCCACAAAAGAACAACGGGAGGCCAAAAGATCAAAGACCAAGACAAACGAAACACGGGGAACAAATCCCACCTCAACTCCAACGTGTTCCCCGCGGGTGGACCCACGGGTAGCGCCCCACCCGTGGTCCCGCCCGCGGGTACAACACCCACAAGGCATACGTTCCCGCGGGTAGGCCGGCGGGTGGTGCCCCGACCGCCGTTCCGCCCGCGGGTACGTCCCTGTACCACAACAAATCCCTTCGGGGATTTTCTCCTCCAAACACAAATTCAAGTCCAAAACATGCCAAATCTCACCAAGCACAACAAAATGACTTGAACCAAGGAAAATGCCAAGCAATGGCACAAAGGAAACCTAAACACAAGCTCTAGATATGCAATATCACAAGATAAATGCATAAACTCTCACATTTCATATCAAAACACAAGTAGAAGCCAAGGAATCATATATAGGTAAGCAAAATAGGTTTTGTAGAGCATGGGTTACCTCTTGAAGACCAAAAGACTCTTCTTACACCACAACAAGCTCTCCACTAAGCTCACTAGCCAAACCCACTTCAAGATCAAACCAAAAGATCATAAAGATCCAACCTTTAAGAAAAAGACAACTAAGATGGAACCAAAAAGACTAGACAAGCTTAGATCTTACCCTTCTAGATGCCAAAATAGAGGAAAGATTGAATCTTGGAAGCAAAACTTGGAATCTTGACAAAGGCTTCTTTTGGCTTGAAGAACAAGCTACTCTTGTTTTCTAGAGAGAAGGTAGAGATATTTTCTAGGAAATGTAAGGGAATGAAATGAAGAAGTCTTCTAGGTTTAGGTTACAAAACAAGCTCTTGGTGAAAAGACAAGGATACCCTTACTAACTCTTGGAAAGTGTAAGGAACAAGGGAACTCCTCTCAAAGCACAAGGTACAACACCACTTAAAGATTGACTAGTCAAATACTAGTCCTTGAGTATCAAAAATCAGGATTTTAAGAATCAATTCCTCAAAAGAAATAGAATTAATTACTCAATTAATTCATGGTTTGGAGTGTGGATTTTTGGGGTGTCACAGTCTTGACTATTTTCATGGCAGAAAAAGATCGTTCTGTAGTAGCTGTGGATACAGGAAGCGTGAAAATGAGAGTTACTATTCTGAACACAAGAGGATAGATGTCCAATTTTCTAGTTTTCACCAACCATTATTGGCAGAGATCAGAAATACTTTCTAGTGCTCTAAAATCAGGTAGTTGTTGCACATGTTCAAAAGGTTCAAATTGTATTCTTAATTGCAAAATCTCATAATCTGCAAAGTCTTGTGGGTAAAACTTCTCTACCAACTTGCAAATGTCATCAATTCTAAATGATATACACATTTCTTTTGGATCAAGTGATGAGCATAGAATAATTAACTCCATTGCTTCATCATCAAACCTATTATTCAACTCTTGCAACTGAGAATCAATCACCGCATTAAAAATATCAACTTTGTAATGATGTCCAAATTCATCTTGTTGATGCCTAACCCTTCCTCTTCTTGCAATATATTGAGCATCAAAATCTGCCACAGTTATATTGACATTTTCACAAAAAGACTTCACACTCGAAACTAATTCATCCCATCCACTATCTCTTAATTTTTGAATAAGCAATTTAGTAGATACCACAAGATGCATTCCATTCGATATATCTTGAGATTGGAGTTGCAAAGCTTGGCAAATCATATTATAAATCTCTAGAACTTTTCTCATGAGCTGCATAATGAATACAAATTCAAAAGAAGTCATTACCTCATAAGCTGCATCGGCATCTCCACAGTGAGTAGGTGTAATTCCATCTTCAATAATATTAAGTAAAACTTCACATGTTGCACTAAACATTCTCATCAAACTTGATATGGATTTCAAATGAGAACTCCAACGAGTATCACATAGCCTTTGCAAAGAACCAATTTGGTTAAGACGCCTCCCACTTTCAAGCTTATCAACACTAAGCAAATGAGCACTATTTGAGGCATGAGCAGCTTTCAACTGGTCATTGCGCTTACATGAAGCCCCAACAACATTAATAATGGGACTTAGTGAAAAAGTGATGGATAGGGATGACTTCCTTTGATGAAGCTACTAATGTCAATTGCAATCGATGTGCAAAACAATGAACATAATAAGCATAAGGACATTTATCCAAGATTAAAGCTTTCAATCCATTCCACTCTCCACGCATGTTACTTGCACCATCATAACCTTGTCCTCGAATATTTTGAACATCAAGATTATGATGTGATAAGATAGAAAAGATACATTCTTTCAATGTTGATGCAATAGTGTCCTTAACATGAACAATTCCAAAGAATCGCTCTTGTATAAAGATATCTCTATCAACAAATCTCAAGACAATTGACATTTGTTCATTCTTTGATTCATCTCGAGCTTCATCAACAATGATATAAAATTTTGCATCACCAATTTCTTCTCGGATAACACTTTTTTACTTTAGTTGCCAACACTTGCAAACTTTGCTTTTTGTATTGTTGGTGATGTATATGTTGCATTTCGTGGAACTTTATCAAGAACTTTTGTTACTTCATCATTAAAAGAGGCAATGAAATTCAATAACTCTAAAAAGTTTCCACGGTTTATTGATGTTATTGACTCATCATCACCTCTAAAAGAACATCCTTGAAATGCAAGCCATCTCGTTGCCTCAATTGAAGTTCTCAAGCGAAGTCTATTTTCAACTATTTCTTGAGATGTGAATTTCTCAATATGTTGTGCAATGTGTGATTGTTGGTTAATGAGATCCGCACAAGCTTTCTCGGCATTTCAATGAGGGGAGGGGAGATCTTTCCCAATATGTGCTAAAAATGAGCAATTTTTTCCATCACTAACTTTCTTCCATGATCGAAAACCATTGATAGTAAAAGCATGCAATCCGGAGGGCCTATCTTGAGTATGAAATAAATAACATGGTAGACAAAATGCTGCATCTTTACTAGGAGAATATTCTAACCAAGAAGGGAATAATTTAAATCAAGATGCTTGAAAACTACGAGGATGCTTTTCTCCAGATTTTGGATACTTTGAAAGAAAACATTGATATGGCCCGGCTTTGATATAGGCTCTCCTGACTTCATCACTCTTGTCAACGGGGCACATCCATATTGGTAGTCGCAATCCTGGCTCACGTTCTAATGCTTGAATGTCAAACTTCTCATTGATTTCAATTCTTTGAGATTTTTCAGGACGACTTTCAGAATTCAATTGATCAACACTTGTAGATGGATTTACGTGAGATGATAAATCTTCAGATTTATTTCTTTAAAAAAAAAGTATCAATTCTTTGCTTGTAACACCCTACTTTTTTAAAATTTAAATCTCGAATACTTTGACTTAAACAAGATAGATAGGTAAGATTAATTAACTTAAATCCAACCAAAACCAACAAATGGGTGTCACTGCCACAATCACCACTCGCGAAGACTGCACAGGCTACAAAAAGGTAATCTATCTAGAGTCAAGCTCATCAAAACATTATCAATACTTGGGGAACAAACCCCGGTGACCAAGCACCAACAAAAGATCAGTCTAAAAGTAACTAACATCAAACATCTAGGTAGAATCTAAATCTAGAAACTACCACTTCAACTACGCACTAATCTAACTCGTGCGCTCTCAAACACTGGGCCACCTGAAAGGGGTTATAAAAACAAGTAGAAAATATACCTGTTAGCAAATTAATGCTAAGTATAAAGCCACTCAACCCTGTAAAGTACTATAGATATACATTTGGAAAAACATTTGGCATTCACACATAATCTCAAGTAGTTGCAATACTTAAACAACAATCTCAATACATGCTCATAAACAACTCTATATGCTTTAACCTATTCTTGATATAAACATGCTTTTCTCAAAAACTCAACTTAACACAATTCTCATGCTTTAAACAGATATCTATAATCATAGCTCATCATGCAATACTCATGCTCAAACAGATACATAAAAAAGATACTTAAAACTCAACAAGCAAACTATGCTATCATGCCAACTCATAAGAAACAATAAAGTACTGTACTTCTCATCATATTCTAAATGCAAACCATGCAAGTCATGTAATAAGATATGTCCTGATGCTATAAATAAATAAATAAATAAATAAATAAATAAATAAATAAATAAATAAATAAATAAATAAATAAATAAATAAATAAATAAATAAATATATATATATATATATATATATATATATATATATATATATATATATATATATATATATATATATGTATGTATGTATACACAGTCTCGCTCTTATGTAAAAAGAACATTTATGTGGAGGTTTCTGTTGAGTCTCTTGACTCACTTTTCTCTTCTTTCTTTCTTTCTTTCTTTCTTTCTTTCTTTCTTACTTTCTGTTGAATCACTTGACTCGCTTTTCTCTTCTCTTCTTTCTTTCTTTCTTACTTTCTGTTGAGTCACTTGACTCGCTTTTCTCTTCTTTCTTTCTTTCTTTCTTACTTTCTGTTGAGTCACTTGACTCTCTTTTCTCTTTCTCAAACTTTCTCATGAATCTCTTTACTCTTCTTTGTGCGAGGCAGGTACTCCGCTATAGCGAAGCCCTAGCGAGCGGTGCAAACTCTTGCACCCGCCACATCCGCATCAACGGAACCTCTAACTCGTGGGGGTGGTAGGAACTTCACAAATCGTGAATGGACCTATCTGGGCTCAGCAATCTAGCCGACTTAATACTCATCTCGTCCACAGAACCGGTACTGATGGTTCTTTAATCTTTCTTTCTTTCTATCTCTATGGAATCAGGTATCGTACTTTCAGCGTGCACACCCCCTAACTGGGATTCCAAGCCCAGCAGGTAGTATCCAACCTTGTAACTCGGGAATATCGACCTCGTTATTTCTAAATATTTGTCGGTCCTCAGTGACCGTTTCTTTCTTTACCGGGGATCTTGCCGAATCTTTTTACTTTTTTGTCGGTTTCTATTTCGATCTTATCTCTTTTTTTCCGAAAGGATATAGTCCTAACGGTCCTCCAGAATACTATTTTCCTTACAATAGATAACATATAGATATATCTTATGTAACTTCCTTTCTCATGCAATTTCTCTTCTCATGCAACAAACTTTAACTTGTGCAAGCCTTGCTATGCACATAAATCTCAACAACTTTTCTTTCTCACATTTTGGAAATTAAATATCATGCAATCTTCTCAATGCAAATAGATAGAGATTTTCCAAAATAGATATAGGTTTTCAAAATAGCTTAAGGCTTCACTTTGAGCCATTACTGTACTTAATCTTTAAAAGTAGCAAAATGCCCTTTTTCGAATGTAAGTTTGTAAAATAGTGACTTATGCAAGAAATCTCAATAATCTCAACAATTCTACTATTCATGAGCTAAGCAATGCAATTAGCACATTTAATCAAATAATTCTTGTAAGCAAATGCCAATATGATATTTCATAACTTGAAGTCAAAAGCTACACAGATACTTAATGACCAATTTCATGCTTTGTCTGCTAACATGCTCTTTAGTGTGAAATGGAAATACACACTACTTTATGCCAAAATCTCAACACTTAGCAAATCTTCTCAATAAATACTTAACAAGTATTGATCATGCTTCTCAAATCAAATTACAATACTCAAAAGCTAGTAATTTCATTTACTGCGAAACAAGGAATTATGCACTGTTCATGCCAACTTCTCAATAACTTAACAAATCTTCTCAAAAAATACTAACAAGTATCTAGGCATGCTTCTCAACTTAAAATATCAATACTCAAATGCTACAATTTCATTTACTGATGTAGTTCATAGACAACAACAGAGTATTCATCTTCAACATTTCTGACTGTAAATCATGCTTTATAACTCCAAATCCAACGAAACTAACTTCTACAAGTGCGTCGTAACGAGCCCGAGTGTCCGAGCCTCAAGGGCCCACGAGTCCTGGTGTGACACCCCGAAATCCAAATTCAACTAAGGGATTAATTGAGTAATTAATCCTATTTCAATTTGTAATTTAATTCCTTAAATTCCTGAAATTTAATAGTTGGGGACTAGTAATTGACTAGTCAACCCCAAAGTCAAAGATGTACCTTGAGCTTTGTAAGGAGTTCCCTTGTTCCTTACACTTCCTTATGTTTGTAAGGGTATTCTTGACCTTTCACTTGTTGTTGGTATTGTAACCTAACCTAGTAGACCACCTTCATTCTCTCCTTACACTTTTCTAAAAAAATCTAGCTCCACCTTCTTTCTAAAAAGGTGAGTAGCTTTTCTTCCAAGCCAAGTTGGAGCCTTACCAAAACTTCATGAGTTGCTTCCAAGATTCAACCTTTCTTATATTTGGGCATCTAGGAGGGTAAGATCTAAGTTCATCTTGTGTTTTTGGTTTTATCTAAGGTGTCTTTTCTTAAAGATAGGATCTTTATGATCTTTTGGTATGTTCTTGAAGTGGGTTTGGAAGGTGAGCCTAGTGAGGAGCTTGTTGAGGTGTAAAGTGGAGTCTTTAGTCTACAAGAGGTAACCCATGCTCTACAAAACCTATTTTGCTTACCTATATGTGATTTCTTGGATTCTATATGTGTTTTGCTATGAAAAGTGAGTGTTTATGCGTTGTCTTGTGAAAATGCATATCTAGAGCTTGTGTTTAGGGTTCATTTGTGCCATTGCTTGGCATTTCCTTGGATTCAAGTCATTTTGTTGTATTTGGTGAGATTTGGCATGTTTTGGACTTGAATTTGAGCTTGGAGATGAAAATCCCCAAAGGGATTATTTGTGCAGGTATATGTACCCGTGGGCGGAACGACGGGTAGAGCTCCAACCCGCCGCCCACCCGCGGGGAACATAAGCCAATGGGTAGTGTACCCGCGGGCGGAACCACAGGTGGGAGCCTACCCGTGGGTCCACCCGCGGGGAACACTTTAGTGTTGGATGGGGATTGTTCCCCGTGATTCTTTTGACTCGGTATTTGGTCTTTTGACTTCCCGATATTCTTTTGTGGAACTATTTGAGCGTCTTCTTGATGTTTCGTATGTCTAGAGCTATATGGTATGAATCCATGTAGGTTTTGGTGTCGTGTATCGTGCTAAGTGTTCAACATTGTGTTTCGTTGAACCGTGATGAGTCTTGTGTGTTCTTTGGAACTACGTTTGGTTTACCCGTTTGATAAGCATGCTAGTTCGGTGTTTAAATTCTAGCGTGTGTGTTGTTTGTACCTTCT